CGTAGGATGCGTCGCGCGCGCGAGCACTCCGTCGTGACGACAATTGGATCGCGCGAATTCGCCCGCTCGTCCCCCATCGCGCGCATTCGTGCTCGCGATACGAATTCAATCTGCCCCGTAGTTGGTTCGCTATTTCTTCCTCTAACGAGAGCCTCGGGTTGCCAACGAATCGTAAGGTTGCTCCGCGACGGAGGACTATAAAAGAACGCTTCCTTCGGCGAACGGCGTCAGCAGCTTGAAAAATTCAGACAACGACGCGCGAATGCGCGCCAGCTTCCTCGCTGACGGAGTGGAAGACGCGGAATCGGTGCTCGTATATGTTCGAAGAACTCGATAAATAGAAGGTCTCATATAGACGCTGTTCTCGACGTTACGCTCTACGCCCATAGATTATTTACGAGAGGGTGAGTCCGGGGCCGGAACGATCTTGAACGAGAGGTTCCCTTCCATTATTCAACAACTGTGACCCATCCCTTGGCAATGGACGGACTCTCTTCATCGGCTAATTCCATACATTTCGAGTAACATTTATCATAGGAATGACGGGCAGAGCGTGGATATTTAGGTACAACCCACGCGTGGCTGTCGTAATTTCGCCGACGAAAAGGCCAAAAGAATCGTAGGTCTTCGTTAAGCCGTAATGCAACGGGTATTTCTCTGCCGACACTATTTCCGAACCCGCGACGCTATTTTAATCCTGTTAAGATCGTTTTCTTAATATAACGGAAGAAAACAGAGCGACGCGTCGGGGAGACTGGAAGCTTTCGTTTGCAAAATTCATATTCCCTCGCTGGGTCTAGCTCGTTGTGGAAAATACAGCTTCTATCAAGACGCTCCGCAAGCTCGCGCTTGCCCGATATCGGGCAAATTATCGCAATAAAGTCTAGTGCTTCCATCTCTTGTTGTTGGTAACAATTACCTGCTCCATTCTCAGTAGTAAGAGCTATTACGGTCGGGCACGAGTAGCTTCGCTCCGGCCCCGGTCGGACACTTATCCGGAATATTCCCACTCGATAGTAACATCGCAGCACCGGATCGCTGTTCGTTCCACGCGACACTGCCTTTAAAGGCGAAAATACCTTTAAAATCGGATCGAACGGAGAAGGAGAAAATTTTCGAAAATTTTACAACCGTCTCTTGCGTAATATTCCAACCGAAAATATTTGTCTACCCCCTCCGCCGGCTAAGAATATCTTCGTCCCCGTGACCGTCAGATTTTTCAGACAGGGAGAAAGGGCACGATCGTTAAAGCGGTGGGAAAAATCGGAATATCGATTCGGAAAGAATGTTCGCGATAGGTTGATTTCTTAGGACGAAGTGCACATGCATATCTGTCAGACGCTTCCCCCGAGCATCGAAGCGTCATATGCCTGGCTCGTTTGGGGTATCAAAGCCTCCGTGCCTTTATTTCAACTCCTTTGTATCATTCCCCTCTGACTATCGTTGCCTGTGATGCACGGTCTAACGACAATATCATCGGTGTCAGTATACAATCCCCGTTTCTGGCGACCGACTTAGCCACCGGAGTTCGCGCAAGCGTCTTCCGGTTCAGCCTGTAGAAGCGACTAGGGGTCGCCGGGGATAGGGGGAACCTCGGCAAATCAATACGTATATATCCGCCAGTAACCGGCCAGTTGGGGCTCATCCTTCGCGATAAACGCATCGAATTCCGAACGATCGTCGAAATTCATCCGGATAGTTTATTCGCCATTTTTTTTACAAACGCTACGTTGTCCGAGTCCGATCGATCCTGCCCGTTCCACAAAGCAGAGTCACGCGAGCCGAGTTATTTGGTGCATGCAAAGCAGCGATATCGCCCCAAGGTGCAAGGTGCTAGCTCGGAAAGGTAACTGACCCTGTGCAACAACGCGAACGTTCAAGCCGAATCAAGCAACCACTCCAAGAGACCGGTGACCTCGGAACGAAGATCGATCGCAAGCTTCTCCTTCGACCAATTCTTCTTTCCGTTCGGCACGTCGTCACTGTCCACGCGATACATGTGAAAAAAAGGCAAGTCTCCCGAAGCTTCGAAAATCGAGAACGATTCGGTGCCGAGTGTGTTCGTTCACCCTGAAGAACTCGTGACTTGGATCGCGCGCGCACACGTCCAGCGAACGCGGAGAGCATCGCGAGGTCATCGAGCTGCCTAACCGAGACACCGTTTCGTCTGACTGCATTCGCTGAGGAAACGAGTCGAATCGAATCCCGGTACCACGATCGAGTTACCAGGCTCTCGCAAGGCCGTGAGGCTATTGGGACGTCTGGTGGGAGCGCGTGATTGCTCGTTCCGCACGGATTTCCCGAAACACCCCCAAAACGGCAACCCGTCGTCGTTGTGGTGTTGCCGGGGCCCCGCCGTTAGCCGCGAGAGATCGCGAGAAGGGAACTTGGCAGAATCGGCGGGGCGATCGCCCAGAGGATCGGCCTCCTCGTGCGCGACCGGCTCCACCACCACCACCTACGCCGCTTACTGGCGGCCCAGTGAAATGGAGGAGAAGTCCTCGGCTCGGTTCTCCGAGTACTTGTTCGCCAAGATGGATGGCCAGGACGTGTCGGCCTCTCAGGGTCCCCGTAAGGTGACCGCCGACACCAGAAAGTTCGTGCGAGAGAATCTTCTTCTCGTGGTTACCCTTTCCGGTGTCTTGTTCGGCGTGATACTCGGTAAGTAACGAGAACCATCGCAATCGATCTCTCCCCGGTTAAGTTTCCTCACCCGTGATACCGAACATCCTAAGGATAATATTAGTTTCTACGCGTTGACCTGATTCACCGTGCACGGCGAGAGGCGCGGTGTTCCTTCGCCGAGCGAACACGGGTCATCGATATGTCAGGTAAATGTCAATCGGTTGCGCATCGGAGATGGAAAAGCGACGAGGGTATCCTCGGACTCGGGACCCAACTCGTACACGGATCGTTCGCGTTGAAATTGAACGGTAGTCGCAAGTAAGGGCGGGTTAGATCGCGCGCATCGGGTACCCCGGATAATGGCCGAACCATGCCAAAAGCTTGCAACGCTTTCGTCCATTACGGGAAAGCGTGCCAAGGTCGAGTTCATCCGATACCGGCCGATCTTACTTTTTCTCGCGATCGATATCGGTTATAGATAGAAGCTGTCCAGGCTTTTTCGTTTTTTTTTTTTTTTTTTTTTTTTTTTTTTTTTTTCTTTCTTTATTTCTCATCCTCTCGATTGGCCGAGTTTATGGGACATAAAGTCACGTGCGCGAATGTGACACACGTGTTAATAACTGGTTATGTACGCTACTGCTTAACGATCGGGGCTTCATAATCGTTCGGCCTATACCTCTCTTTCTCTCTCTCTCTCTCTCTCTCTCTCTCTGTCTGTCTCGATGACGTTCCTCCGCGAGCCGAATTCGTTCCCGTAAATTGGAACTGACAAACGACCATGGGTATAGACCGGACAAGACCCGTTCGCCATCAACGGAAACGATCCGTATCGAAATTAACGCTCGTTACATAAAACGTGACCATGTTATCCTGTTAAAAGGCGTCAATCATCGACGAGAGGTTTCCTTCGAAAGTCTCATCTAATTAACCAACTTGTCTCCTCGAAGCCGAAAGAACAACCTTGAACGAACGTTTCAGCCGTGCGGGCCAACCTTTCTTCGGAGTTGCGTTGAAAGAGACTCTTTCCTCAAAGCACTCGAGGGCCGTCGACATGTTTTCGTTCACGCTTCGTTGTTCTTTTCGTGGATTTAATTACCGCGCACAGCCCACTTCCGCTCCGTTCGCGAATTTCAATCGAGACGCGCGCCGCTTTCGCGACGAAATTGAAATTGCTACGTCGAACGATACCTATACACGACGTGAACGAAATTTGTACCCGTTAAATTTTTACGCGTCCATAGACAATCGACGACCTATTACCGTTCTCCGACTTACACACTCGTTAAAGCTGATCGAAAAGGCTCGGTTATTCGCGACCGAGTCGAAACCTTTCCTCGTATCGCGGGGATATAATTTTCTGCCGTTTCGAAACGCCGGACTTTCAGACGTTGAACTCGTTTTCATCCTGCTATGTCATTTCATCGTGTTCACCTTGAATAGCCTTAAGCCTTCTAGAAGCAGCTGTCATAGAAGTAATCTCGTTATTTTTTCAGGGTTCGGTTTACGACCCTTGGGCCTCGGCGATGACGCAATTATGTTAATCAGTTATCCTGGAGAGCTCTTCATGAGGTTGTTAAAGTTAATGATCCTACCGCTGGTGATTGCCAGTCTTATATCAGGTAACTACGTGTAACTCGATGCATCCTAAGAAGATGCAGGCGAATGAAAATGGAAGTAAAAGTGATTATCGAGATGCAACGTTAATCGAGTTCTGTCGATGACTTTCAGGCTCGGCGAGCCTGAACGCAAGAATGAACGGGATGATCGCCGTCCGAACTTTGGTGTACTTTATACTCTCGTCATTGCTGAACGCTGTCCTTGGTGTTGTCCTGGTTCTGCTCATTCATCCGGGTAATCCTGGAATTAGAAAATCGATCGCGACCTCGCACAGCGGGAGAGCCGTTAACATCTTGGACAGCCTTCTCGATTTGGGAAGGTAACGTTCCCTTACCCTCTTCATTCGTGAAATCGCGTTAGCCGTTAGATATCGATCACGCTCGTTATTTCTGTACTTTTGCGTCGACACGTACGCCAACGGCGTTCGGGAATTTTCCTACGATAAAAGTAGAGTCCTTTACCTCGTCGTCGGAGCAACGCTTGACTCGTTTCACTGCCACTCTCCTATGACAGGGATATCGCGGTAGCTTTCGTCTCGCGCCGCGGCAGCCTTGCTTGCCATCGGCGATTATTCTCGTCCTTTCTGTCTACGCTCCTCCGTTTTATCCGCACCGGGGATAATAATGCGAAACCTCGGAGATAACGCGGCTCTTTCGATACGTGTGTTCCGCGCGGAGCGGATCAACGGGTTTAATTGGAAAGCGACCGATCGATTCGTAGAAGCTGCCGTAAAAAGCGTTTCGTCATTTTCCCTATTTACGCGGGGCGATAAATTATCGCGGAACGGCAGCCGGGTGTCCCAATGAGAATTAAGGTCGCGCAGTTTCACGACCGGTGAACTTTTCCAGCAATCGGGAACGATATCCGACGTGACGAAAATAAAAGTATCGATCGCGCGGCGTACTTTATTTGCACGAGCCGAAGAAGTCCGTTTAAAGCATACGCTCGTCGTGCATGCCATCGGCTAATGGAATTACACGCTATATCGCCGATAAACGCAGCTATCGATTAACTACTTATAAAAAAAAGAGAAGAAAAAAAAAAAAAAAAAAAAAAAAAAAAAAAAAAAAAAAAAAAAAAAAAAAAAAAAAAAAAAAAAAAAAAAGAAAAAAAAAAGAAGAAGAAAATAATGCGTCGCATCTGATTCGAACCTTCTCGCGTGTTACAGAAATATGTTTCCGGATAATATTTTCCAAGCAGCCTTTCAACAGGTACACCTTCTAGCTTTTAACGATAATCAGATACGCGGATGTATCCGGATTTTAACGGGAAATATTGTCAACAGGCGCACACGGTATACGTTCCAAAAACGCCGCCCTTTCGAAATCTCACCGACTCGATATCCTCGGATGTCCTCGGGGACGAGGAATTGATGAGAGTAACGCAATACAGAAGCGGCACCAACACGTTGGGAATCGTGTTCTTCTGCCTGGTGTTTGGTACATTCCTAGGTACGCTCGGCGAGAAAGGTCAAATAGTAATCGACTTCTTCAAAGCTGTGTTCGAAGTCATCATGAGGATGGTGTCGACCGTGATGTGGTACGTATAAACACGTGGTGGTACGGTATATACGTGGGAATAGATGGGGAATGACGTTGGCGTTGGTTCGCAGGATGACACCGGTTGGCATCACTTCCGTGATAGCTGGGAAAATACTGGGCGTCGCTGACTTGGCACTGGTGATGTCGCAGCTAGCCTGGTTCATCGTCACGATCGTGATCGGTGTGTTTTTCTATCAGCTGGTGATCATGCAGCTGATCTATTTGGCCTTCGTGAGAAAGAACCCCTTTAAATTCTACGCCGGCCTCGCCCAGGGTACTCTCACCGCCTTCGCCATGGCATCAACGTGAGTCGTCGACCTTCGAACTCAGCCCGACCTTCAGAGTACCCATATCGCCTACCTCACATGGCCTCGGTCGTCATCGTCATTTAGTTCTTGACTCTTGTACTCGGTTGACCGCGTTTCACCTCGGTTCTCTTGCATCGGACATGTCGTGTCTTTTATTTTTCTTTTACATCGTGTCGATTACGCTCGTCAAACGTTCGAAGAAACTGCAAGGCGATCAAGACTCGAAAAACAGGTCGACGCATGATCCGAATCGATTGATAGAGACAATATGTTTCAGCCAGCCGAGAGGAGGCATTGCGAGGCCTTAGTCCCGCACACCTATCCAGATTCATCCTTTTCGAGTAGCGTTTCACAACGTTAGAACACGTTAAAACGTTGAAATTTGCTCTTCGAAGACGTTGTAGAACGTTGACGAATCCTACATTCCGTCTTTCATTCGACTCCTATTTGGACCTTTTATGTTTCTTTAATGTTTCCGCGTTGCTCGCGGGGAAACTCTTCGTGACCAATGAGAAAGAGAGAAAGAGAGAGAGAGAGAAAGGGAGAGAGGTATGCAGTTCTGGGTGGCACTTAGGATGCGGATACTCCCGGTTAGTAGTAATTATCCACGAACTTTCGGTAAAGTTTACGTTTATCTTGGCCTATCGTGGCCGAAGGCTGTGCACACGCGTATCCGCGTATCGCATGGATGCCGCGCGTACCGAAATTTCGATGATCTCGAAAACGAGATATGCGCGCGCGAGTCGTCGATGAGCCGAGGAATGGGACAAAGGACAAAGGCATGGAAAATTACACGAGTGCACGGAAATGCTTCGTTACGTCCGTGTGTATTTAGCCGGAAATCAGCTGACTCCGTGTCACCTGGACTGATTCTTGGCGTGGAAGCTTTCAAGGGCTTCCATTATCCGAATCTTCTGCCCCTCGTAAGAGGAAGGACAGAGGAAGACGAGACCGCCAAAACAGGCTTCGTGCCACTTATGCTATTTATTTAAGTATTCTCCAAGAACAAGAGGAAAGAAGAAAAAAATATTG